TTTCTAAAGCAGTAGTCCAAGATGAAATGGAGCTTCTGCTTGGGTTACTATAAGCCAGGATCAGAATGTCCCCACAAACAGAACAAGGCCCAGGGGTGTCCAAGCTGTAGGGAAGAATTCAGGAGAGTCATGTCCAAAACGCCAACCTGCTCAATGTAAAGCTTATATGGGAGTGCTCCAGAAAATGATAGGAAATACAGCTGACTCTTCCACACCTCTCTGAGGGAAGAAAAAAACAACAAAATGTGCCTGGAGAAGCTATTATGTGCAGAAGCTGAGATTCTGGTGGAAGGGAACACAAGATATGGGACTAGGGAACTGGAAACCCAAAAGACATGATACTTGATGTCCAAAGACCCTAGGGACACAGGGCTCGAGACGTGGGCCTCATGGAGAGGGTACACAGGAACCCGTGAATCCAGGGATCATGGGATCAAGTAATGAAGTAATACAGGAACCAACCATAGGGGAAGGAAGGCAGAGGGGATCTCTACCTGGGGATCCTTTCTGAGAAATCCTAGCACCTGAACACAAGAGGAATCATCTGGAAAGAGATGCTCCGAGGGGGTCTTAGGAATATTACTCCCCAAGCAAACCCTTTCCAGATCTAGCAAACAGTAGGGCAAATGTTCCCATGATTTAGGCCCCATGCCCCCTTCCCGCCATAGCCTGAAGAAGAACAACACAGCAGCACTGTCAGGGCAGCCCTGGACCCCTCCCATCCTGCTCAAACAGGGCTGAGCTGCTCCAGGACCCACTCTGTGATCCAGCAAATGAAGGGACGAGTTTGGGGAAGTCTAAAAACTTTCTTGCAGGACGTTGAGAGCCCTAACTTGTCCTTCTCTATGTCAGGTGAGACACTCTGGCAGATGAGTGAGAGTCTGGAGGTTTCCGCACTTCTTTTTGGTCTCTTACTGGGATATAGTGGCAGGGAACTCTCCGAGACCAGGTGGTTCCTGGGGATGAAGGACGTCAGATGGGGTGTCTTTCAGCTTCATAGCCCTCAATGGATTTTTCTGCCACAAAGGTGTCCCCTTCATTTTTTGAAGCCATGTAAACCTTTTGCACCCACAAAAACCTGTGGAAAGGGATTCACAGCTTTCCTAAAAGGGGAAGGGTGTCCTTTGCTTCTTTTGAACCTGACAAAGACCCTAGCTTTGCATGAGACCCCCTAAGGGGTCAGGCAAGGGGAGAAGGAGACCTGCTTGGCTGAGCAGGGACCTTCTGAAAAGGCTCAGGTGGAAGAAGGGAGTTTACAATAGGTGGAAGAAGGTGCTGACTGCTTGGGAGGAATACAAGAATGCTGTCAGGGTATGCAGGGAGGAAACAAGGAAAGCCAAGGCAGCCTTGGAATTGAACCTGGCGAGGGATGTCAAGGCCAACAGGAAGGGTTTCTTTAAGTATATAGGAGACAAAAGGAAAACTAGGGAAAATGTGGGCCCGTTGTTGAATGAGACAGGTGCTGTGGTGACGGATGATGCAGAGAAGGCGGAGTTGCTAAATGCCTTCTTTGCTTCTGTCTTCACTGTTCGGGCCAGTCCTTGTGAGACCCAGACTTTGCAGGTAACAGAGAAAGTCTGGGGGAAACAAGACTATCCCTTGGTTGACAAGGAGCACGTTAAAGATCAGTTAGATAAATTGGATATACATAAATCCATGGGGCCTGATGGGATGCACCCTCGGGTGCTGAGGGAGCTGGGGGAAGTCATTGCTGGGCCTCTCTCCATTATCTTTGAAAGGTCCTGGAGGACAGGTGAGGTGCCTGAGGACTGGAGGATAGCCAATGTCACTCCAGTCTTCAAAAAGGGCAGGAAGGATGACCCGGGAAACTACAGGCCGGTCAGCCTCACCTCCATCCCTGGGAAGATGATGGAGCAGCTTGTTCTGGGAGTCATCTCAAAGCACCTGGATGAAAAGAAGATTATCAGAAGTAGTCAACATGGATTCACCAAGGGGAAGTCATGTCTGACTAATCTGATAGCCTTCTATGACAAAGTAACTAGATGGGTGGATGAGGGGAGGGCAGTGGATGTTGTCTACCTTGACTTTGGCAAGGCTTTCGACACTGTCTCCCACATCATCCTCACAGGAAAGCTTAGGAAGTGTGGCTTAGATGAATGGACAGTGAGGTGGATTGAGAACTGGCTTACAGATAGAGCTCAGAGGGTTGTGGTTAGTGGCGCAGAGTCTAGTTGGAGGTTAGTAACAAGTGGTGTCCCTCAGGGGTCAGTACTGGGCCCAGTTTTGTTCAACATATTCATCAATGATCTGGATGAAGGGATAGAGTGTACCATCAGCAAGTTTGCTGATGACACAAAACTGGGAGGAGTGGCTGACACGCCAGAAGGCTGTGCTGCCTTACAGCGTGACCTCGCCAGGCTGGAGAGTTGGGCAGAAAGAAACCTTATGAAGTTCAACAAGGGTAAGTGTAGGGTACTGCACCTGGGGAGGAATAACCCCATGCACCAGTACAGGTTGGGGGCTGACCTCCTGGAGAGCAGCTCTGTGGAGAGGGACCTGGGAGTCCTGGTGGACAACAGGATGACCATGAGCCAGCAATGTGCCCTGGCGGCCAAGAAGGCGAATGGCATCCTGGGGTGCATCAAGAAGAGTGTGGCCAGCAGGTCGAGGGAGGTCATCCTCCCCCTCTACTCTGCCCTGGTGAGACCGCATCTGGAGTACTGTGTCCAGTTCTGGGCTCCCCAGTTCAAGAAAGACAGGGAACTGCTGGAGAGGGTCCAGCAAAGGGCAACAAAGATGATACTGCAGAAACTCCTCCGCTTTATACTCCTGGAAAGCTCTCTCTCTGTCAGTCCATGGTCCAGCCACGTTTCCCTTTCCCAGGATCTTGCATCAGCCTGGACAAACATATTTACTTTATCTGAGCCCATGAGCTCTGGCAGTAGCCTGGGAAAAGGTCAGTAATGGCCTCTTGTTAATCTAAGCAAGTAGCATAGAGGGTCTCACAGACCTTTTCCTTCAAAAATATTCTTCTAAAATACCCAATGACAGCCTGTCTCTATGCCAACGGTATGTTTTAGACAAAGAAATTATAAATCCACAGGGAGATCAATTTATACACCATTGTAGGTTAGGAATTGCTCTTGCTCGGCTTAGCTAGGATGGGATTAGATAGCTTTGGTGAGGTTTGCCATGCTTGGTCCTATTGCGGATCTTTCCCCTTTCCGCAGGAAGCTTCTAATCCTTATTTGTTTCACAGGATAAAACATGTTTGTAAGAAAACTGTGCACTGATACCAGTTTGAAGCTCAGGACAAGTCACGCAGCTCCATGGAGGAGTCCCTGGCCTTGGACTTGTCATTTAACACAAAGGAAATTTTCCATCTGTACAGTGCCACTGCGTGTACCATTCCTCCAGAGCTCTGTGAAAACTGAGAAAAACACTGTGTTCTATATGATAAAAACACACACGCACCCATGACTCAAGAAAAGGAATTTGCTAAAATAAAATTAACATACATAAAACTGAGAGTTTTGGGGTTGGGTTTCATTTGGTTTCAAAATAAATGCATACTATCTTACTGTCCATTGCCTACACAACATTCAGTTTCCAGTAAAAATATGCATTTTTAAGACGGAGA